GATAACTACCTAACACAACTGCCTGCTAATACTCTGGAGAAAACTGCTCACAAGAGCTGTTTTGTCTGTGCACATATTAAAAAATGCCCACAAAAATGCAGAGACACTCATTTTATGTGTGAGGAGTGTAAAACACCATTATGTGTGAGGAGTGTAAAACACCATTATGTGTGAGGAGTGTAAAACACCATTATGTGTGAGGAGTGTAAAAGACCATTATGCATACACCCATATTTCAAAGAATTACACAAGCTGCAGCAATTCTAGGAAAGTGTCCAGTGATTGTACATTTGTATATATATATATTACTGAACTAATCCCTGTACTATCACCTCCTAGATAGTATTTTACTGCCTCATTATCCCAGGTGTCCCACACAGTTCTTTGTGTGACCCAGTTTAACGTATCTTCCCAGATTTCCAATTCACAAATTATTATTTGTTAATAAGATACTTACTCTTTAATAATATCTGTATTACCATTTTCTTTCCTACTTAAACACTGTTAAAATTCTCTTATAATCATACCTTTTTTTTCCCCTTTTCTACCAAACTACAAATAACAAACTACTAACCAGTATCAACTACCTCAAATAATATTCCTATAGTGATATTAATTGCTCAAACTTTATACTATACGGCAAATCCTACTCTTAGATTATTCTTCATATCTTAGTGACTATATTGTGTGTGCAATTAGTGTATATTCCAATTACATTATTGTTCAAGTTCTAAAACTATCTTTTGCTAGCTACTACCAACTACCTACCTCATATTATTTTTACTTTTTATAGTACAATAAATTGCTCAACTTATTATATATTACAAATCAGATCTTACTCCCAAATCAATATTATATCATAGTGACTATCTGTCAATTTAAATTTGTTTACCATTACTTAATTTAGTCCCTTATATATCTTCTCCTCATTTTAGCTTTATATAACTACCTTAGTTCATATATTCACAATTGTTAAAATAATCAAGGTGCTATTCTCAGGTGCTAAAGTGTAATAAGTTCACTATTTTGCCATTATATACCCTAGTTCATTTATTTGATTACAACTCTATTTGTTCACCACAAATTATTTTAGTCCCTTTATATTGTCTCCTTTATTTTAGCTTTAAAGAACTACCTTAGCTCATATTTTTACATTTGTTAAAATAATTCAGGTGCTATTTCATAGCTTTAGAATATTTACTTTGTTTTATACTTAATTCTAACTATAGATTCACTATAAATCCTATGATTACAAGCATTGATCCTTATACCAACCTCTTATTGAATGACTTAAATGAATCAAACAGTAACTGTAATGGCACTTCTCAGAGCCAACAAAAACATAACTGTCTTTAACTACAATATCAGATCTTTAAGCAAACATTACGATGACCTCATAGCATTACTAAATTCCCTGCATGCCAGTATGTCCATCATTACTCTCACTGAAACCTGGCTAAAGCCTGATACTACAGATGTCTATGCCATTCCTGGTTACACAGCCATACACAACTGTAGGCCAGATCAACAAGGGGGTGGCACAGCTGTATACTACACAGACCAGCTAAAATGTATCACTAATACTTGCACAAGGGATGAACATGGGAACATATAATAGCTAAATTCAAATCCAAATACCTACAAAAACCTCTCACAGTGATAAACATCTACAGAGTACCACAATCTAACATTAGCCATTTTAGTGAAAACCTAGGAAGTATGATAACTGATGCACGCATGAACAAAGATCACTTACTACTCTCAGGTGACTTCAATATAAATCTCCTGCAAGTCCAGGACCTACACGTTACTGAATTCACAAACACAATGAGTAACTGCATATTGCTACCAACAGTAACAAAACCTACAAGAGTTACAGAGACTAGTGTTTCCCTACTTGACCACATTTGGACCAACACCATATCCCCTTTAAAATCAGGCATAATCACAGATAATACCACAGACCACTACCCTACCTTCCTCATAACAAATCCTGGCAAATTACCCCAAGACACTACTAAAGTCACTTTCAGACTTCACAATGAGGCAGCCATTAATAACTTCACAGCAGCAGTGACAAACATTGACTGGCACACTGAGCTAGAAATCTATACAGATATTGACGAATGTATTAATAATTTTCTAAAAAAGACCCAATACCTCTATAACAAGCACTGCCCTAAAAAAACTAAACAGATGACAGCTAAGAGACTGAACAGTCCCTGGCTAACACTCAGCATCCTCAAATCCATAAATACAAAGCACCTATATGAAAAACAGAACAGAATGGGTCACATAACCAGAGACCAAACAAAACGTTACTTGTCAAGTCCTAACCAGCCTGATAAGAAGGGCTAAAAAATTGTATTATGAGAACAGATTATCCAACTTACGAGGTGATATAAAAAAGACCTGGAAAACCCTATCAGAAATTCTAGGAACAAAAAAGATATCACAAAATACAAAATTAAATTAACAAAATCAGATGAACCCCAACTCCCACCAACTGAAACAGCAAACATACTCAATGATTTCTTCTCCACTATAGGAAAAAACCTTGCCATTAAAATCCCAAGCTCAGATACCCCACCCAGTGACTACCTCACTGGCAACTACCCGAACACACTGTTCCTAGCTCCAACTAAACCAACTGAAGTCTCCCTTATTATCAACACACTAAAAAACAAGACAGGAGATTTAAATACCTTACCACCTTTTATATACAAAAAAGCATCACAAGTGCTATCACCAATCATTGCAACACTCTTTAACAAATCCATCGAATCCTCTACCTTCCCTACAGTTCTCAAAATAGCAAGGGTCACCCCGATTCATAAAGGAGGAGACCAAACAGACTTGAATAACTATAGGCCAATATCCAACTTACACCCTCTCTCTAAAATCTTCGAAAAATTAATTCATCAGTGAATCTATTCCTACCTCATCTCCCAAAACGTACTCAACCCCTGTCAATTTGGGTTCAGGCCTAATAAAAATACTAATGATGCTATTATACACATGCTAGAACATATATACAGTGGAACCTCAAAAATCGAACTTTCTTCGGTCCAGAAGTCTGTTCGAGTGCCTTTAACGAATGAATTTATTCCCATCAGGAATAATGTAAATTAGATTAGTCCATTTCAGACCCTTAAAAATACTTATAAAAGCACTTACAAAAATACACTTACATAATTGGTTGTGTTTGGAGCAGTTCGATTTTTGAGGTTCCACTGTACACTGCAATAGAGAAAAAAGAAGTCCCACTGGGGATCTTCATTGACTTACGTAAAGCTTTTGATACAGCTGACCATGACTTGCTCCATATAAAATTGTCACACTATGGTATAAGAGGGCACTCCCTCAAATACCTAAAGTCATATCTCAGCAACAGAAGCCAATATGTGTACACAAATGGGGCAAACTCTTCCACACAGCCAATAACAGTTGGTGTCCCACAGGGAAGTGTCCTTGGCCCTCTTCCCTTTCTCATATACATAAATGATCTACCAAATGCATCATAACTACTCAAACCCACACTATTTGCAGATGACACTACATACGTCTTCTCTCACCCGAGCCCAGTCACGCTAGCCAATACTGTAAATACCGAATTACAGAAAATATCTACCTGGATGAGGACTAACGAACTTACTCTAAACATTGACAAAACCTACTACATTCAGTTTGGTAACAGAGCTACAGATGTCCCTCTTAACATAATGATAAATGGATCACCTATCACAAAACTCACAGAGGGAAAATTCTTAGGAATCCACCTTGATAATAGACTCAAATTTCAAACACATATACAGCAAATTTCCAAGAAAATTTCCAAAACCGTAGGCACACTATCGAAGATACGGTACTACGTTCCACAGTCAGCCCTCCTGGCCCTGTATCACTCACTTATTTAACCCTATTTCACCTGTGGAATTTGTGCATGGGGCTCAACAACAATAAATCTTCTCGGACCACTAATTACCCAACAAAAGGCTGCAGTCAGAATGATAACAAATTCCCACTACAGGCAGCACACTCCACCAATATTCAAAACCCTATACCTACTCACCATACAAAACATCCATACTTATTACTGCACCTATTACATACATAGAACACTTAACTCTGATATAAACCCTCCCCTCAAATGTCTCCTTACCAACCTCAACAGAACACATGACCATAACACAAGGCACAGATCACTCTTTGATGTTCCTCGTGTCCATCTCACGCTATGCAAAAACTCAATGCACATAAAAGGCCCTAAAATCTGGAATTCATTACCTGTGAATATAAAAGAAACACTGTCTGTTTATAAATTCAAGTCTCTTCTCAAAAATCACTTACTCACCCACAACCAAATAAATACTGAATAATTGTATCTTAAAAATTGTATCTCATAAATGTTTCTCATAATTGTATCTCATAAATGTTTAACCTGATACCCAATCAAACTTTGTTATTTTTTAATTACATTATCTAACAGAATACTCCATTCTACTGACTGCTCAGCAACACAGTAAATGACCATATGACCTGTCTTTTTAATACTCATTTGTGCTTAATTGTTATCTGTTTACAATAATGTTTTACCACTGAATATATCACTGCTTAGTTAATCTTAAGTTAATTTTAAGCCTGCCCATAATGCTCTGCATACAAGGGGCTTTGGCATGTTGCACTTAACTGTATTCATTTGTACTACTCTGTATCATGTTCAAATTAATAAATAAATAAATAAATAAATATTATAGAACAATAGTAATAAACAATTTTTTATATTGTCCATTTGTGTAAATAAGTTTTGTAAACAATATAATGATACTAATGTTTGTGAAATTATTGTAAGGTGCAATGTATTTGTACATTGCACCTTACTTTGGTCTCACAGGCCACATAAGTTATGTGAAAAAATAAAATAGTGAAAAAAACAAGAAACCTTCGAATGTAAGTAAACAAAGTTTACCGGGTGAGCATCATTCGCTGCTGTTGCTTACATGGCTCACTTTCTGCCAGTTTTACTCCTCTATATCTCAGTAAGTACTAATCGCAAAATTTTCTGGGGGTGCTTAGAACAATCAGAAAATTTGTCTTAACATTTTGGTAAGAAAAAATTTTTTTTTTTTTTTTTGAATATTTTTTGACACTAGGAGACACTTCAGGATTGGGGGGTTGTGACAGTCAAAGAGTTAACCCTTTGACTGTTTTGGTCATATATATACATCTTATGAGCCACCGTTTTTGACGTATATATACTTGTAAATTCTAGCGGTTTCAATTCAAGCAGGAGAAAGCTGGTAGGCCCACAAGTGAGAGAACGGGTCAGTGTGGTCAGTGTGCACCATATAAAAAAAAAATTCTGTAGCACCCAGTGCATAATGAGAAAAAAAAACTCCAACCGTTTTTTTAATTAACCCTTTCAGGGTCCTCTCCTAAACTTGTTCTCAGGGTCAAAAATTTTTCAGAAAAAAAAAAATTATTTTTTCTTATGAAATGATAGAGAATCTTTTCCCAATCATAATGACACCAAAAGTATGAAATTTGATGGAAAACTTATGGAATTATGCTCTTGTGAAGTTAGCGGTCTCACCGATGTTTACGCATTGGCGATTTCGCCAACTTTGAGCCCTATTTTCGACCAATTCCTCTGTACTAGTCAACAGAAATCATATTTATTTCACTAGAACTCCATTTGGTCTATCGATTGAGTACAAGAAACCACCCATTTACCAGTTTCAACTATCCAACAAAGTGGTTAGAAATTAGCAATTTTGCCAATTTCACACAAATATCAGAAGATGCCAATTTCCAAATAGGGTCCAGAATAAGCAAGACAGACATTCCTGGCACTAAAATAACAAGTTCTCTATTCGTTAGTCATGTCCCCAGGCCCCTTTTATATTTCTTTTGCTTTCCACTCTGAATTTTTATTCTCACAAAAAATAGAAGATTTACTGTTATGCAGACTTCTGCATTAGTGTAGAAATGGTATAAATAATATCAGTGCACTTGTGAAAGAATATTAGACTCACCAGTTGACGTGTATTGGACGCTTGGCATGATTTGTTTACTTTTGAACTTTGGTAAAATCAAACATTTCTGCTACTTTCAGCTCAATTTCAAGGTACTTTTTATTGTGAAACCAATCAAAATCATCTCAATTTCTGTAACATGTTTTCCATTCTATAAAATGAGACTAGGAAAACTAGAATACAACCATAAATACCATACGAAAATACAGTGCAAAGTCGCTGTTTTAATCCAAAAACACGGTCAAAGTTTTTTTTCTCATTACACACTGTGTGCTGCAGGATTTTTTTATACTGTGCACACTGACCACATAGCCCCATTCTTTCATATGTAGGCCTACCAGCTTTCTCTCACTAGATTTGAAGGCGCTAGAATTTAGGCATTCTAGTACGTTAATAACCCTGGTGTGTAAGCCGTACTAGTATGTTGAAAACCCTTAAAGGGTTAAAATGTCGACTTTGTGGTGTATTTTCGTATAGTATATATGGTTGTATTCTCGTTTTCTTGGTCTCATTTGACAGAATGGAAAACATATTATAGAAATAGAGGTTATTTTGATTGGTTTTACTATGAAAAGAACCTAGAAATGTAGCTCAAAGTAGGGGAAATGTTTGATTTTTGCCAATGTTCAAAAGTAAACAAATGATGTCAGTGTCCAGTAAATGTCCAACGAACCATTCTAATATGCAGTCATGAATGGGTTGACATTATTTATACAATTCTTACAATATTGCAGTAGTCTGCCTAACAGTAAATCTTCTATTTTTTGTTTGAATAAAAATTCAAAACAGAAGGCAAGAGTAATATCAGAGGGGCCTGGAGACATGACTGATGAACAAAGAAAATGTTATTTTAGAGCCAGGAATGTCTGCATTGTTCATTCTGGACCCTATTTTGAAATTGTCATATTTTTTAATTTTCATGAAATTGGCCAAACTGCAAATTTCTGACCACGTTATTGTATTGGGTAGTTGATATCGGTAAATGGGCAGTTTCTTGTACTCAATCGATAGAAAAAATGGAGTTCTAAAGAAAGAGCTATGAGTTTGGTCGACTGGAACAATGGAATTAGTAACAAGCACAAAAACCAATGGATTTTAAGGAAATGTTTGGATGAATGCACGGAGTATATGCTCACTCACTGAGATAAACAGGGAAACTGACTCACCTTTGAATGGCATCCCGGCAGGCTGACGCGTCTAGCATGACCGATTTGCAAGGCACCGGCCAAAGCACGGAGCAAAATTTTGGCCCAAACATCGGCCTACATACAATTTGGCCAATACCCGCATTGGCTGATATCTGGGATTCCACTGTATTATTATATATGAAGAGAAATATGTAGGGAGAGGAATCTTGTAAAACATTGCTTTTTCATTGCAGTGAAGATGATCCGCAGTGGCTTCTGGATGAAGGTCAAGAGTCAAAACAAAATGAAGCTGAGAATGTGAACCATCAGTCAGACACAACAGAAGGTCAGTCAGACACAACAGGTCAGTTGGTCACACAGAACCAACAGTCGGCTGACAAACTTGCGGCTAAACAGCACAGGCAACTACCCTCAGACAGCCCGCTTTCAGAATCATTGGTGAACGATGTTAAGGATGACGACAAGATGACAGACACTGAAGACGAGGAGGAAGCAGATGACACTCTGGCAGAGGAGGTATCTGATGACGATACAGAAAGAAGCTTGTCACCTTCACAAACAAAGGTATGAGTGAGGATCACATAATCTACAATGTTTTTTTTTATACTGGTAATAATGTATGGAATTTCTCTGTGCTTAAGTAATTTATCTTTATTATGAACTTTTAATACATTTTTTGTTAATGGAGATAAATGGTATAAAATAGTGACCCGATGAAAAAATAGATAAATGTAGTATAATGCTATCCTTTATTAACTACATCTTATCCACACAGTGGAATTTATCTACGGTGGACCCCCGGTTATCAGCCAACTCGGTTATCGGCCGGTTTTTCGGCGCCTGGTTATCGGCCATTTGGGAGGCGTCCATCCGCCGGCAGGGGCCGCTTGCGAGTCAGTTTGGCTTTGTCTCTGGGCGAGTGAGGAAGCTTCTGCTCATTCATCCAATCATTTTGCTATAATCCATTGCTTTTTGTGGTTATTGATTGAGTACAACTGCAGAATAAGCAACCATGGGCCCAAAGAAACACGTTACATAGTATATAAAAACATGCAATGTTTATATGCTATGTATATTTAATAATAATCACTTGTACATTAAATGTCATTTTTTAGATTAATATAGACATTTTCATTAATCCATCTATTATATCTTCTTCAAAATTACATAAGAAACACATTACATAGCATATAAACATGTAATGTTTATTATATGCAATGTATATTTAATAATCACTCTTTGCCACATTAAATGTCTTATTTTACGTTAATATAGGCATTTTCATTAATCCATCTATGATATTTTCTTCAAAATTATATAAGAAACACGTTACATATCATGTAGCATATAAACATCCAATGTTTATATGGAGAGTGGGATGGAGAGTAAACATTACATTTTCTCTGATGCAGCATTAGAGAAAACTGAATCTGGCGACTGGTGCAGTAACCGCCCTTCACATGCGTTTGTTTACAACTCTTGGCATGAATTATTCATTACTTCTCCCTTTGTTTATGATGGCATCTAAAGGTAGTTGTTAGAAACGATTAAACTCAGTGAACATGGTAATAATATGGCTGTGTAGTGTAATAATATGGCTGTGTAGTGTAATAATATGGCTGTGTATGTGAAAATTTGTGTGGACTGCCTCCAAGTGAGTCGCCTACCCTGGCAAACTCTGTTGACACCGAGCTCTGGGGTGGGTACCTCAGCCTCACAAGTGGCTTATAGGACAGATTTTCACAAATGATTGATGTTGCAAGAAACTCGCCTGCATGCACGTATAAAGGACTAACTTACTTGGTGTTTGCAGCATATATCCTGATTTTCAATTTCCCCTAGCTTAGCCTTAGCCCTCTGGACGTCCCCTCAGAAACCACGTGCAACCCGGGAGCCTTAATTCCTGCAATATTCAATCGTTATAGTGACCTGCCTGCACCTCAGAGATTCCTATATCCAAGAGGGTATGTATCCCCTAGTATAACTATGCAGACACGGACACTAGCTTCCAGACTGCTTTGAGACACTGATACTTACTGGGCATGCTCTGCCTGTTGCACACTGGCCCCCACAGATAAACTCAACTCACAATCTCCCCAGACACTGGCCAGAAATCTACGAGAAGTGGAGGTCTTGTCTTACTGTAGGGGCCTGACGAGGAGGTCATCTACGGTACATTGAGGTGCCTCTACCAGATTTCCCCAGGTCTCAAATGTGAAGACACGTGGGGGGCGCCGTCTGCTGATCACGGCACGTCTTGTCCAGTTGGTGTCTGTCTTAAGAAGAACGAGCTGGTCCCTCTTCCAACCCTCGCACTTCGTTCAAACTAGGGCTGCCAGTTTCTCCTTAGCTAACTTATCCTAGGTTTGCCTACATTATCGGCCTATTACTACCTATGTCTTAGGTCTACATTATTATCTACAGTTGCCTTAGTAAACCTAATATTAATTACTAACAGTAAACTACCTACTCCTCCCTGAAGGGTAAATCTATAAATAAATAAGTGCCTACCATCATCGCCAACCCGGAGAGAAAAGTGTTTATGTTCGGGAGAACGCTTTTTGTTTGGTGAGTTATAAGGGCCATCCAGCTCAGGGCCCTTCCATCATGGCCATGTCGGATCGGTCCTGTGGAACTTTAGGGGCCAAAAAATTTCCACATCCTCCCGCCGGCGAAGGAGGCGTAAGTCTAAATCAAATTCACCTTCCGCAAGCCCCACAGCGGACCCTGGACACGAGTGCCGTCCGGCCACTCTCGTCGAGCAGACTCCGTCTAACTTCAACCGTCCAGTTTTCCCTGTGTGGACCTCTGGGGGTGTAAACTTGTTGGTTCCGGTGGTCTTAGCACCCTTTGCTTTAACTTTAACGTAGTTCATATGTCTAGCCTTGACTGAGTGGCTCCGTACTTTCCCCAAACCCGTGGCCCACATGCCCTGGTAGCTTTTCCTCCCACGTTTCGAGGTTCCCTGGATTTAAAGGCAATCTATCTCCCTCTTTACGTACCCTGTAAAAGTGTTTTCCCAAGGTGGCCGAGTGTTCGTCACTACCTACCCGGTTCAGCTTCCCTGGCGGTTCATCGTGTATACTGGTATTCATTATCCTACTCCCCACTATCATGGGGACAGCTTCTCCTTATCTGGCGTGGCAGGGAATTCAGGTGGAATCCTGCCGCCTATGATGTATCCTACTGGGGATCTGTATAAACCAATTCCTTCCTTAAACGTCCGTCGTGTAGACAGGAAGTCATCTAATGATTGGCTCCCACCAGGATACCCCACATTTTTGACTGGGTCAATGGTAATTCCCTGGTCTGCCAGCTTCACGTCAAGGTCCCTTTTAATCGCTTAGCTGCTGCAGCAAGACCTCTCCCCTGTAATTGCCCTGGGTAATGTCTCTACCACCAAGACTGTAATATCTCTGCGATGTCTACCTAATTGACTGTGAAAATCCACCACATCATAAGATTTGGGTGGGACCTGACTTTATACCCCCTCCCAACATCATACAACTTTCTTTGTGGCCTTAAAATTTAATTTAGCCCCCAACTTCTTTGTTATCAAGGTACTTGTGCTACTGGGTCAAAGAATATCGGGTTGTTTCGGACCTGTGCCCATTCAAAACCCTTTGCCAGGGACTGTAGGTGGGGCACACCTCCGTGATTCTCATGGATTAAGGGGACTTCACTCCCACTAATCACGCTGGTTTACCATTTCAGGCTCAGACTAAACTTTTCTATCTCTACCTGAGGATTTTCCCTACTAGCTTGGGTTCCCTTAAATTATTGGACATAGTGCAGTGTGGTGCTTACCTTTGCAACAAAACTCGACACTCACTGAGCTGGGTGCCACAGTCTCTCGCAAAGTGGTTCCCCACAACACTTGAAGCAGGTCTCAACTCCCTTAGTCTCTGTTGCCTACTGCTCAGTTTTTATATACTCCGACAACTCGTGCTAGCATGTTCGCCTTCACAGAACACGCATATTCTGGCATGAGTGCCTTGAGGTTCTGCTTAGGGGTTCTTACCTTAGCCCACTTCTTTACCATAGTACACTCCAACGTTAGTCATACGAGCTTAGACTGATCTCTCGAGATCTTTGAGTGACTGTCTGGGTTTTATGTGGTGATGGTGGTGACTCTTCTCTCACACCTATACTCAAATGAGAAACGAGATCTCCCCCACCCCCAAACAATTTGTTTATCGTGAACCTATTCGTCTGATATTTTAAGTGTAACTCATGCACTGTCGTGCTAGTCAGTTTCCTCTGAATCACCTGTATGGATCCATTTGAATCATCCTCATCATGGGAAATCTCTGAAACATTTGTCAAGCTCATATTTCCCAAATAGGGAACTTCTCTAGGCTTTGACGGTCATGTCGGCAAGCCTCTAGATCCAACAACCAATAAAGTATAGCTACCTTTATCTCTTCAGTGTTGCCAGACATGTTTTTCTAATTTGGTCTTTGGCATGTTGGTAATTAGTTTCAGTAATTTGGGTTTAGTGCCGGACCAGGTCTAAGGCTTTACCCTTGAGCTGCGACCGCAAAACTACAATTTGATGGCATCTGACAAATGGGTTCCGGGTCATTTTATCGGGGCTTTAAACTGATCCCAGAAAGCAATGTACTCGGGGTTTCCCGTCAAATGTGGGTTTAAATTCAACTGGGGCAACCTGGGAAACATATTGACAGGGTGTTGGCTGTTTGGGGTACCTGCGGTGTTCAACACCACCCTTGGAATATTAGCCTTTAATGTACTTAACTTATCTTTGTACATATTCATCTCCTGTGACAATCTACATCATGAAGAATTGAGACACTTATGCAAAACATGGGAATCTTTATTTAAGAAAACGTTTCGCCCCACAGTGGCTTCATCAGTCCAATACCCAAAATAGAAATGGGTAAGGAGAGTAGAAGTATGAGGTAATCAGTCCTCAACCTGGATTCGATGTGTTCAGTCCATTTACTCTTGTAGTAAGTGCAGCATAGGGCCAGAGAGGTGGCTTATATACTGCGGTTTAGATGGTTGAAGCAGGAGGAGGCGGGATCTTAGTGGGACGTGCCACTAGTGTAAGTAGGTCATCGTCCAAAGGTTGGGCAAGCGTTTTAAGTCTTTGTACCAAGATTCCATGATGTTGCAGTGGTTGACAGATGTGATGAAAGGTTTTGAAAACGACAAGTTGAAGAATTGAGACACTTATGCAACACATGGGAATTTTATTGAAGGGAAAAGTTTCGCCACACAGTGGCTTCATCAGTCCAATACAAAGTAGAATGGGTAAGGGGGAGTAGAAGTATGAGGTAATCAGTCCCCCAAAACCTGGATTCGATGTGTTCAGTCCATCACTCTTGTAGTAAGTGCGCATAGGGCCAGAGAGGTGGCTTTATATACTGCGGTGGGGATGAGTTGAAGCAGGAGGAGGCGGGATTTTTAGTGGGACGTGCCACTAGTGTAAGTAGGTCGTCGTCCAAAGGTTGGGCAAGCGTTGAAGTCTTTGTACCCAAAATTCCATGTGTTGCAGTGTCTGACAGATGTGATGGAATGGTTTTGAAAACCGACCCAAATTGAAGAATTGAGACACTTATGCAACACATGGGAATCTTTATTGAAGAAAGTTTCGCCACACAGTGGCTTCATCAGTCCAATACAAAGTAGAAATGGGTAAGGAGAGTAGAATATGAGGTAATCAGTCCCTCAACCTGGATTCGATGTGTTCAGTCCATCACTCTTGTAGTAAGTGCAGCATAGGGCCAGAGAGGTGGCTTATATACTGCGGTGAGATGAGTTGAAGCAGGAGGAGGCGGGATCTTAGTGGGACGTGCCACTAGTGTAAGTAGGTCGTCGTTCAAAGGTTGGGCAAGCGTTGAAGTGGCACGTCCCACTAAGATCCCGCCTCCTCCTGCTTCAACTCATCTCACCGCAGTATATAAGCCACCTCTCTGGCCCTATGCTGCACTTACTACAAGAGTGATGGACTGAACACATCGAATCCAGGTTGAGGGACTGATTACCTCATACTTCTACTCTCCTTACCCATTTCTACTTTGTATTGGACTGATGAAGCCACTGTGTGGCGAAACGTTTCTTCAATAAAGATTCCCATGTGTTGCATAAGTGTCTCAATTCTTCAACTTGTCGGTTTTCAAAACCATTCATCACATCTGTCAGACACTGCAACATCATGGAATCTTGGTACAAAGACTTCAACGCTTGCCCAACCTTTGGACGACGACCTACTTACACTAGTGGCACGTCCCACTAAGATCCCGCCTCCTCCTGCTTCAACTCATCTCACCGCAGTATATAAGCCACCTCTCTGGCCCTATGCTGCACTTACTACAAGAGTGATGGACTGAACACATCGAATCCAGGTTGAGGGACTGATTACCTCATACTTCTACTCTCCTTACCCATTTCTACTTTGTATTGGACTGATGAAGCCACTGTGTGGCGAAACGTTTCTTCAATAAAGATTCCCATGTGTTGCATAAGTGTCTCAATTCTTCAACTTGTCGGTTTTCAAAACCATTCATCAAATCTACATCATCCTTAGTGAATTCGTTCAGAGCCTGCTGAAGACTACCCTGGGATTCATTATCCTCAATAGCCTGTAGCTCATATGCTGAGAATGCTTGTTCATAGGCTTCCCATTTTTCCCCCAAACTCC